CTGCGCGCCGGAGACTCCGTGCTGGCGCTGGGCGCCGCGCGCCGCGGACATGTCGCCGTGCAGGTCACCGACAGTACCTTTCACTAGTGAACGTTTTCTAAAATCGACGTTTTTTTAAACAAATATTTTGTTTTAAATTATCGCAAATATACTGCTGACATATGTACGAGTAGTTACTACTACTGTAGCAGCGGGTCTCCGGCTGTGGGCATTCGCTATCAAATCGATAGACCGAAGTAAAGACGAATTATTCAAGTTATTACATATTTCATAGAATTTTTTTTTAGAGCAGAAGGCGGTGCAGCGGCAATCTGAGTTCGCTACGGTAAAAAAGCGAAGTGACCGTTGCCTATAGACATCTCCAATAAGTTGGAATATTCTCGATGCGTCGCCTACGTTAAGAGTACAGAGGAGAGAGCTTAGAGAAAGAAGATATTTCTCCTTTCTAAACACGCTCTCTCAGAGTGTTGTGTGATCGTCGAGCAAACCCTATCCCGGACTCCATTACTCTAAAATAAATTCTTTGAATTTGGTGGCAGGTGCTGGGCCGCACGGTGTCCGTGCCGCACAGCGTGCTGGCGCCGCCGCGCGCGCTGCGGCCTCGCGCGCCGCCCGCCGTGCCGCCCCCCGCCGCGCCCGCCGCGCCCGCGCTCTCATGACCGCCCTGACAAGACCGATTTTTTTCTATGAAACCATTGAGAGCTCGCATTATAACATCCACATTAAATATTATGGGACGTCACAGTGAGGATTGCGAGTGTCTCGCCTGTTGCGCGCCGCCCGCGCCGCCGACGGAGCAGACTCGTATCATGTGTCATGTGAAAAACTATTATATCCCGATTGGGAAACTGACCCTTAGTGACAGGCGCTTCCCTGCCGCTGGCGATGTCGGAAAATTGCCATGAATGCTTTGATGGACTTTAGCTGCCTTGTCATATGTCATGGGTGTTATGTGTTACGGATATAAGCTCGTTTACCATATAGAGACCGCGCCGGCCGCGCCCAGCGCCCCTCTCATTGATCCAGACAAGTTTGTCAGACTGTACCTTACTATATAACATTCGATCCGAAATGTAAGTTTATTGTAAAGTAAATAGATATTCGATGTAAGATTTATTTTGAATACACAGAGATATAGAGTTGTGAGGTAGCTGTCGTGCGTACAGGAGGCGGCTGCGCTCCGACCTGCAGTACAACATACTTCTTAATTAATTTTTAAAGGCTACTGTATGTCACAGCATTGTTAATTTTATTATATGCAATTATTTATGTTTTCTTCATACAAAGGTTTGAATGACCGAACTCTATGTAAACTGTGTGTTTGTGTGTGACTGTGTGTATGAGCGTGTGTCGAGCGACGTGAGCTCGCGCCCCCTGCCGACAAGAGTCTGAAGCCCTACTCACTCGACGACTCGATAATGTAGTGAGGGAAACGTACAAAATAAAAGACTATATTTTAAAACATTATTTCTTTTATTTGTAGTAGTCAATACACAAAATAACTCTGGAATGTAAAAAAAATCGCGAGCCGAGTCCGCAGCCGCGCACAGCTCGGCACAGTTCGGCACTTCTCGGCACTTCTCGGCACGGCTTGAGTCACAGCTGCGCCCATTCACGAAATATAAAAATGTGTTACTTCATTTTATTGAAGTTAATATTATTAATTATAAAAAGCATTATGAACATTTTACAATCCAAATCGATACAAGAAACTTGAGTCATAAATCGGTACAAATGCATAAAGTTTAAACTAATCAGCGAGCTGGCGGCTGGCTGCTGGCGACCGGCGAGCGCCAGCTGCGGCGGCGGCGGCGCGCTGCGGTCGCACAGAACGTCCAATCCTGAGCCAGGACATTGTCACAAAATTGCCATGAAAATACATCACTCATATATAAATTTAACAGACATAGAGAGAACATTTTCTTAAATATAACCTTTCTTAGTTGTAAGAATCGAATAAATATTTTTTTAAAACATTAACACGATTAAGTTATTATATGTTGCGGCCAGATCATAGCATTGGTCAGTGGAAGTCCCCCGCGCCCGCTCGCCGGTGCCGGCTACAGCCGAATGTAATGTGTCCATTGAACATGTTATAGTCAGCTTAGCAGAGGCACTTCACCAAAAATGAGTGATCGAATGCTAAGATGTGGCCACGACGCTTTTTAACAATACATTTAATTTTATGTAAAAGACGGCTGCAGGCGCGGCGGCCGCAGCTCGCACTCTACAAACAATTTGGCAACTTTATATAATTCCACGCACTCGTCTTTTCAAAGCACAGCAGAGACCGCACAATACGACATCGGTTGTAAAATATCTTAATTTTAGCGACCATCGAGCGGTTGTCGGACCGCGCTATGCCCTCCGAATGCCGTCAGACTCTTCGACGTCGCGGAGGCTGGTTTTCACTATTGTTATATAATAACATTTACAAACTATGGCCTAGTTATAACATTAAAAAGTTCATACAGTAAAATGCATATTGAAAATCGTAACTCTGACCCAAGAAGTAAAACACGAACACGAACACTTATGTATAAAAGGCGAGGCGCGCTGGGGGCTGCGAGCAGTGCGAAGAGCGCGGCGTTGCGCCCAGCTTACCACTTATACAAAACACATATCTTATAAAAGTTGAACACATACGACAAGGCAGTGAGGCAGCCG